ATATAAAAAATATTTTAAAAACAAATTTAAGTCGATAAATTTAACTGAAATTTAAAATTAAAATTTTAATTTGACACATTCTCTAATACAATTTCTACACGTCTCCAACCGAATTTAAATTCAGAATGCTATTCGTTGGGAAAAGTATGAATGGCAAATCTAGAGAACTTATCGAAAATTATTTAAAATTTAAATGAATATTAAATTCATTCACACAAGCAAAGGTAGTATATTTGAGATTCCGAAATTCTTAGGGATAAGATGTATTCTATCCCTAAATTCTGGAATTTAGGGATAGAATACATCTAGCCAAAACAGCACGGGATATTTTTCCCAATCAATACAGTTATTGAGCTTTTAAATTGATACTTCGATCGTAACAAAAATATAAATTAGCTGCATTATTCCTGTAAGTTTACTAAACTCATTTGAAAGTCAATTTAAAAATTTTTTTTTGAATATTTGTCACTGAAATTCAGGAGTTTTATTCTATACAAGAGCTTGCAATTCGAATATAAAATCAATATTACCGCCATTTTTCAACAAATTTTTGCTAGTAGAACAGCTCTTTAGTAGTCTTTATTCAAAAAATAAAACTAAATATTTTCAATTTGTAATTTGATCAAATGAATATTAATCTGGATAATAAAATATTTAGTATTACAACAAGAGTTTAACTTTTAAGGAAATCGGTCTGTATAATATGCAACATTATTATACCTATATTTAAAAAGTGTTATACTCGTATAATTGTTTAAAGGATAAAAAAATTTCAAATACAATAAATTTAATTTTTAGTTTTTTTTTTTACTCTTCATTCAAGTGTTCGAAAATAAAGTTTTATTATTACTTTACTTTTTTAATCTATATACGTTATATATATACATATATAATAAAATACACATATAATCGCACCTTCAAAGCAATAACGCAGTATTTCGTAATAATTTAATAGTTTTAAGTAAATTCTGTTTAAAGTTGGGGATCTTTTTTTTTATATAAAGAGCAACACGTTTCTTTTGAATTCAATACAAAACGTAGCACTCGTCATAAAGGAATAAGGCTAAATATTGCAGCTTTGCAATTAAGAAAACTCTGATTTATTGAATTTCGTGCAATAGAAAATTTTAATATTTTAAGGAAATTTAAAAAAAAACTAGATAAGGAGATCAAAATAAGAGAGGGAATTTGCACTCTTAATGGTATACTTAAATCAAAATTTACTACATCAACTTGCTAAGAAGGGTCTACTTAGAAGGGTGCTATAATATGTACACGAATCCTGTTGTGTATATACTTAAAAGCCTATAAATTTATATAAATATTTAGTTTTGATTTTGTAAATTTTCCATACCTCAATTCTTGGTTATATATAAAATTTATTTTCGCATTTGAGAGAAAAAAAAACTAACTAATTTTTATTTTTCCTATTAAAGAGAATATTTTATAAGTATAACACATAAATTTCCTATTTTTAGTTTCTCTTTTTACGTATACTAAATAACGGAATTTTCAAGCTAATAAATATTTGCTGTTTTCAAAAATCATAACGATAAAATTGAAAACAGAGGTATAAGAGATTTATGTACAGACTTTTATAAAATATGCAATGCACTAGAAAACAAAAATTAATAAAATAGGAAAAATTAAACAAAATAAAAGGGAATAGCTCTATAAACAAATTTTCTTCTAATAATTCATTTTAAATAAACGAGAAAAATGAGCAAAAATAAAATTTCATTTTAGGGTCCGACTCAATTCTTTTCCTATATATCATATTTTCTGTATTGCATATAATTCTTATATAATACATACAATATACAACCAAAGCAAAAATGAAAAATTCTTTTATATAAAAAAAAATATTGCGGTAACATTGAAACACTCGTCTTTAAAAAAAAAAAAAACAAAAATTGTTTCATTTTTATTTTATTTCTTTTTTATTATATTTTCTCTTGCAGTTCTTATCATAATAAACACATCTATAATAATATCATTTAAGTATGTGAATACATATATATATACATATAAATATATATATAAGCATATACTTATATAAAAAATTCTTATTTATACCGTTATTGTGTGTAATATACAAATTATGTCATGTACACGTAGATATGTACTTAAATTTACCCAGCAAACAATAATTAAATTAAAATGTATATGTGGCAGATATATTTAACAGAAAGGGAAAGATATTCTATTCGAATTTAATTTATCATATAAAAATTGACGCCCGATGATGGGCCTCTTCATTATATGCACATAACCGAATTTTTCACTAATATTTGTTATTAATGCTTTCTGTGAGTAGAATTTTGCAAATGTTGCTAAAAAAAAATTCAATTTTTCTTATTATGAATGTCTTTTCCAGGTAAAACTTCAAATAAAGAAAAATAAATAGATATATTTTATAATTAAAAATTATATATGTGAAAAATATGGCTGGGGTATGTTGTCAGAGCAGATAATGAAAGGCCAATGTGTAAAATTTTTAATGGCCATTAGTAAGACGGTAAACAACAAGTTAAAACACCACGAACAAGGTGGCTGAATAATGTAAGAAGTGATATCTAGAAGTTGGGGCTTGAAAGTTGAGTAAGATGTGCTAAAGATCAAGTTGTATGGAGGAGAATTTTAGAAGAGGCAAAGGCTCTACAGGAGTTGTAGCGCTATATAGAGTACTAGTATATGTGAAAAAATTATTATACAATTTTTTAAGTTTCATATTAAGTGTGTGAAAGTTTCCAATAAACTTTTCAATACTATAGAATCTACTCAACTGAAGTAGATATTTTATAAACTTTCTATTTTGAATTTCTGTCTTTCCGATATATCATCGATATCAATGACTTTTTTTATTATATAAAATATTTATTTGTAAAATCAAAACTTTTAAAATCAATTAAATTTTTACGATATTCAATGAATGAAACTGTATTTATTTTCTCAAAACTACAATTCCCATATAATATTAAATTAATTAATCAAACATCATATAAACAATATTTACAATATTATAATGTATTAACGAAAAATTAAATTGTTATACATATAATAATTATGTTTGTATTATTCGCAGTAACTTGTTATAATATTTATTTACTTTAAAATTTTACTGCATGTACTCTTTTAAATATTAATCTGCCGGGTATATATTGTATAATAATAGTATTATTATTATATTATAACTGTTATACATATATATATAATTGTTTATATATAGTAACGTGTACTTGTATTATTTAATAATGATTATATAGGTCGTTGCAATGAATATAAATAATGTACTCATTCTAAAAATATACATAGTATACGAGTATGTATATTATACGTATATGTATATATATATATATATAAATAAAATTTTAATGTAGATAAAAAAATAAATGACACAACAACAGCAACCAAAAAAAAAAAAAACAACAATCTTTACATAAACAACAGTGTTAACAGATTTTTATTATCCTTTCTTCCTTTTTCCTTATATATCCTTTTTAATTTTGTTTTCTTTATTTTTCTTTTAAATTTTCATGTCAAAATAAAATTTTAAATGGAAAATACTTGGGAAAAAAATTTTCTGTACTTTTTTCTAGACCATATAGAAATAAATACTGGTAACATATAACAAACATACATATTTTATACCCTACAAAATATTGAACTGAAAAATAAAAATAAAGTAGGCAAAAAAACAACAAGAACAAAAAAATAAAAAAGCAAAAATAGATTTTTCACGTTTTTCCTTATATATATATGTGCGTGTATGTGTGTATACCGTAATAATAATATTTCTTTTTTTGTGTTGATTCATCAGTTTCGGTTCAATATTCTGTGATAGTTCTACGGAATCCTGTTTTTCGGATGAAAAAAAAAAACAAAATTCTATGTTTTTTGTTTATATTTTTTTTCTAAATAATTATTTTAATATTTTATTCCTATAATCACATTTAAATTTATTTAAACTTTAAATATAAAAAAAAATATAATATTGATATTTCTAAAAATTATATTCTCTAAAAATATTAATTAAATATTTAATAAAATATTACAAAATAAAATAAAATGTGAAATTTAAAGTATTAAAAAAGCAAATTATCAAATTTAAAAGTTTCGTTTTAAAAATAGTAAAAAAAAATTAAATATTTATATATCTAGAAAAATAGTTTAACTTTATATATATACTTTACCTACATTTACTATTATAGTAGACACGAGTACATAAATCATGATATATAGTATTGAATTTTCCCAAAAAAAACAAAAAAAATAAATCATCATATACATAATATTAATATCTTTATATAGAAATTTAAATAAAAACAACAACAATTATTTTAAAAAAATGTAAATTAAAATTTAATTAAAATTTAAATAAACACCAAATTATATATGCATATATAACAGTATATATATACATAACAGTAAAGCTTTAAAATATAAAATTGAAAAATTTAAATTTAATTATTATACAAAATATTGCCAACAAAAATAATCATTTATTAAAAATATTATTATAAAAGTATTATTTAATATATATATAGACTTTGTAATTATATATATATATACATATATTATCGTACATGTATATATTAAATTATATATTATATTGTAGAGACCGAAGTATAAATATTGTAGTAATAAAAACACAAAAACCAAAAAACAAAAAAAATTTAACAATATTAACCCTCTATACATTGTATATATATACATAATGTATAAAAGTTATATACAACCCTAATAAATTTTAAATTAATTTGACATATTATTATAAAAATATTTTAATAAAACACCTAAAGTATTTAATTAAAAAGTTATTATATAAGGAAAAAAAAGAATGCCTTCAAATTTTAAGTAAATATTTAAAAATAAATAAAATAATAAAAATAATATTAAAATGTAGTCTCCGTGTTCATTTAGAAAACAAGTTAAATTATTAAAAATAAAGAAACTCAAATATAATATATACATGTGTATATTAAATACTAAAAAAAAAAACAAGAACAAAATAAATAATATTAAATTGCAAAATCAAAAACATTAACAACAATCAAACACAGGACAAAAAAAAATCAAATAATAAAAAGTTGTTTACTAAATTATTAATATGAGAAAATATAATGCAATATTTACATAAAATATTATATGTGTGTGTAGACAAGTTATATTAGAATTCTATCATAATATTATATTATATTTCTTATATATATATATGTGTAGGCATATGCAATAGAACAGTGTCATGGATATCCTTTTTGAATAAATTAATATACATTTTTACACTACGTATGTGAAAATATACTATAGTTTCCCTATATATATATATATATTAATATACGTTACGTAGTTATATTTATCATAAAAAAAAATTTTTTTTTACTCTATTATACAAAATACAGCAGCTTCACTTTTATAATATTCATTTAATTTTATGCACACAAACCTACATACATACTTGTATACATTAGGAAATTTGCCTATATAACAAGAAAAAAAAACGAAACACTTAACTTACATAATATAAAAATTATTCTTTTAAACGTCAAAACAATATTTTCTATCTTACTCTAACAACCACTAAAAATTTCAATATTGATAAACGTCAATATAAATATATGATTAACATTGCTGTCAAAAAATGCTATATTTCTAGGAAAACAAAAATAAAAACCAAAAATAAATGAAAAAATAACAGAATAAGAAAAAATACCTCTGCATTTATATTATATAGTTAAAAGTCCCGGCTTTTTTTATTTATTGTTTTCATTTTTGCTTGGGTTATCAAAAAAACAAAAAAAAAAAAAAAATTTTTTTTTTGTAGAACATGCGCTTTATACAATAACAAATAAATATTTATTGTTGTCAAAGCAACGGAATTTCTAAGTTATCAAAAATAACAAAAAAAAAAAAACACGAACGGTAACACAGTCAAGTGATATTATTATGACATTTCGGGGAAAAAAAAATATAAGATATTTTAATATAACTACAAAACAATAGATGTCGCATACAATATAACACTCTAGTGTTGAGAAATCAAAACAAGTTTAGTTAAAAAAATTATTTACACAAAATTAATGTATGTATAATCATATGTTTGTATTTATGTATATGCATATTTCAAATTAAATTTTGGTATACGCTGTTATTATTCAAATTAAAATCAATTTTGGGAAATTATAATTAAATATGTTTATATTTAAAATTGAAATATCATTATAATTATTATTCAAAAATAAGAAATAAATATAAATAAATATAAATAAAAATAAAATGGCAACACAACAACAGCAAATACCAGATGATACAAGTAGTATGAGTGATGAAGTATTTGAACCACCCGAAGAGACTGAAAGACGTAAACAAGGACTTTGTAAAGATGAATGCTATTATTTTGATCCAAATAAATCACAACCAAATAATATTATATCACCGACATCAGAATTTTATACAACAAATGAGAATACAATACAATTTGGATGGGGTGCTAAAGAAAATACAAATGATTTTTGTGATGATTGTGATGATGATTATAATGGACAAGAAAAAGAAGATAAAGAAAAAGAAACAGAAGAAATTAATGATGATTGGAAATCTTATCCTTATGAAGATAATCAAGTTGTAGAAGATACTATTCCAAGAAAGGTATGCATTCTGTTTATTCAATTTAATTTTTTCTCGCAAGATATATTTTTATTCAGGTATAGGCACAGGTTATAAGAACATACTATAGTTACACCCACATATAATTTTTTTTTTTTTTTATTAATTATAATGATGTATTCATTTAGGTTCAAAATTTAAATATAAGGTTATAAGAAAAAAAAAGTTACTATGTACATAAATCTATAAATAATGAATGTGGTAAATAATTCTTAAATTGGTATTTATTTTTTTTGTTGAAATTTGTGGGACATTTTAATAATATTTGCATATTTAAGCATTTTCATTAAAATGCTACAATACCTAATTTAGAATTTATGCATACTAAATCTCTTTGGTTTCTCATCAATGAAAAATTTTATGTTTCTAAACAGAGTCTCGCGAATTTTTAATCGAAAAGTTTAGAATTTCAAAAAAGTACATCTACAGTATACAAGTACATACATACATAGTTGTTTTATGCTTATAAGCTATATTCTACAACAAACTGCATCGGATGTGTGCAAAGTTCTTATAAGCGAAAACTTCATATAATATATTTGCCTTTGTACTCTTATTTTTTATATTTTTGATAAATTCTGAAGTAAGTTTTTTCATGACATCCAAAATTTATAGTGGTTTTACTAAATGCAGGAAACAGTATGTTTAAATAATGCGGCAGTAAATTTTGCAAAATCTAACGAAATATTAAAATTGAGATCTTATTTCTATTATTTTTATATTTCAAATTTTATTAAAAATTCTAATTACTTGTACTACCTTATAAAATTTTTACCAGTTATAAAAATTAAATTCCGGATATCCTGTTATAATTTTCAAATGACTGCTCGCCAAGACCAAAATTGAAAAAATATATTGTAAAAAATATGGCAATATAAAAGTTTAGCATATTTAAAATTTTTATTTAACGGTTATATAAAAGCATTTAAGAAAAACGTATACCTATATACGTTAACAGACAATAAAATAACAAATTAACAAGAAAAAAATTTGATGTGTTCAGCACATAACCCACGCGAATATTTATTGCATAGATATATAGCGAAAGTGTTACAGCCTTTTGAACAATTCTTTCCAATTTTAAGGAAGTTAGTAAGCCTTTAATTAGCATACCTAGAAAAAGGAAAATTTGGCTTCTAGTAAAGTTTCGCTTTGTTTCATCCGAATTCCCTGATTCGCCAGTTAGTTTCGGTAATTACTAAAACTCAAATATTAAATTTCAAGGAAATTCCCGAGGTCCGACATATCTCAAAAGTTTAGTAATCTGTGACGTAGCAGAAATAAATTAACATAAAAAATTTCAAACAAAATTAGTTCAGCCGAACTTGAGATATACTCGTACACACACAAGCCGACAGACTGAGAGAGTGACAGACAGACAGACATCCTTCTAAAAAAAGTTTATTTACACTTCCCTACAATGAAGAAGTGCGTTCCCACAGACTACTCGATATCCGAAATTTGGTACCATCACACAACTTCCGGGTATATGCAATGCGGGTATACATTTATATGTGAATTACAATGTAAACAATTGGTGAACTTAACAACGAAACACAATAACTAAATGATAAAATCATTACGTTAAATGTTCTGCAAAAAAAAATTCATAAAACTAAATTTAGAACACCTTGATTGTTCATGTTTTACGTTTCAATTTTTTAACCGAAAATTTTCATATTTAAATGAAAATTTCACCGTGTAATAAAGTTTTTAAATACATACAAAATATGTATTAAAAACACCATTACACGGTGTTTGAAAAAAAATTTATGCCAATTTATTTCGATTTAAAACTTTTTTTGGACTTAGTATACCCATTGAATTTTCAATCAAAGAATTCTAATATTTTTATAAAAAATTTAGTAGACATTTCCGTTTTGTGTCAATATAAATAATTTTTCTAAAGAAAATTTTATTTTTTAAGAACAAAATTATATTGTGTATTTATTTGGAAAATAAGTTATCAAAATAACTCTCGTATACTCATTTAATGTCAATGTTGTGCGTTTAAAATATCATGTGCATATATGTATGTATAATGCAAAAGTAAGAAATTTATTTGCTGTATAATTTGAACCCTACCGTTCTTTGAACTTTAAGAACTGGCACTCCTTTGCCGTATAAATTGGTATCTTACATATGTGTGTATAAATAAAAATATAGAATCAAGATTGTCTTCTAATATTAGTTCTATCCAAGATAGATAATTCATCATAATGAAACCTGGTTCAAGACGGAAATGTGACAGTATAAAATTGAGAGAAATATGTGAGCTATTAATAATTTGTTTTCAGGAGAAAAAAATACCATGTAAACATTTTTTTTAACAGAAGAATTTTGTTTCAGAAAGACCTATTTTTTATGTGGTATTTGACTAAAAGAATCACTAAGTGGCTTACATTATTCTTTAACATATTTTATATGGACATTTATATTTTTATGTTAGAGTAATGTTTTTGTATTATTTTTAGGTAATACTTTTAGGCGATTCAGGAGTTGGAAAAACTTCACTTTTAGTTAAATATAATACTGGAATGTTTAAACCTGCATCGTTTGCAGCTACAGTGGGGGTTGCTTTAATGGTAAGTTTATTAAACTGATATTGTAGTTAAATAGTTTTGTTTTTGTATTATTATTGCATTATACTTGTGCATGCAAGTAAACTTTGTAATTATTTCATGGGTGTAAATATTGAATTTACAAGAATGCTTCCCATATACGAAAATGAACATTTATATTTAAAATTGTGTATATATTTTGATATTATATTATTCACTATATTATAACGGGTCACCTCAGAGAATATTTTGACTTTGCTGCCTCATGCGGGACTCTGGGGCAGAGGACCGCTTATTTAGCAAATGTTCTAAGAAAACGGATATGTTTCGTACCTATCACTCGCTCACACTTCTGCAATACCGTAACATAAAATGTGAAACCCACCAGGAAATTTATTTATTCAAAAATTGATTTCAATGTGTTTGATTTCATAAAATTTAAAATTTTATTTTAAAGATAACTTTTTTTACAATATAATATAAAGTAAAAACATACCTGAGTTTGAAGTATGCCTGTTCAGGTCTTATCTGACTTTTGAAAATAACGATATCATGTATAGCTGTGAACAAGTTTTTGTACTAAACCAGGGTCTTTAGTTATATGTAATTTTAAACAAAATTATATTAATTTACACAAAAATAACTGTTAGGAATCACATATATAAACATTCACCAATGGCTCATAAATTCCGAGTTTAAAAAAAAATTTTGACAAAATTTTCCAATTTATTGCAAAAACGTTGTCAATCCTCTACCTTGTTGAAAATTGAAAATTTTTTAAAATTTTGCACGACCTTGTCAAAAAATCGAAAATTTTTTAAAATTTTGTACGACCCCCTACCTTGTCAAAAAATCGAAAATTTTTTAAAATTTTGCATGACCCCCTACCTTGTCAAAAAATCGAAAATTTTTTAAAATTTTGCACGACCCCCTACCTTGTCAAAAAATCGAAAAATTTTTAAAATTTTGCACGACCCCCTACCTTGTCAAAAAATCGAAAAATTTTTAAAATTTTGTACTACCCCCTACCTTGTCAAAAAATCGAAAATTTTTTAATATTTTGCACGACCCCCTACCTCGTCAAAAAATCGAAAATTTTTTAAAATTTTGCACGACCCCCTACCTTGTCAAAAAATCGAAAATTTTTTAAAATTTTGCACGACCCCCTACCTTGTCAAAAAATCGAAAATTTTTTAAAATTTTGCACGACCCCCTACCTTGTCAAAAAATCGAAAATTTTTTAAAATTTTGCACGACCCCCTACCTTGTCAAAAAATCGAAAATTTTTTAAAATTTTGCACGACCCCCTACCTTGTCAAAAAATCGAAAAATTTTTAAAATTTTGCACGACCCCCTACCTTGTCAAAAAATCGAAAATTTTTTAAAATTTTGCACGACCCCCTACCTTGTCAAAAAATCGAAAATTTTTTAAAATTTTGCACGACCCCCTACCTTGTCAAAAAATCGAAAATTTTTTAAAATTTTGCACGACCCCCTACCTTGTCAAAAAATCGAAAATTTTTTAAAATTTTGCACAACCCCCTACCTTGTCAAAAAATCGAAAATTTTTTAAAATTTTGCACGACCCCCTACCTTGTCAAAAAATCGAAAAATTTTTAAAATTTTGTACGACCCCCTACCTTGTCAAAAAAATCGAAAATTTTTTAAAATTTTGCGAGACCCCCTACCTCGTCAAAAAATCGAAAATTTTTTAAAATTTTGCACGACCCCCTACCTTGTCAAAAAATCGAAAATTTCAAAAAATCGAAAATTTTTTAAAATTTTGCACGACCCCCTACCTTGTCAAAAAATCGAAAAATTTTTAAAATTTTGCACGACCCCCTACCTTGTCAAAAAATCGAAAATTTTTTAAAATTTTGCACGACCCCCTACCTTGTCAAAAAATCGAAAAATTTTTAAAATTTTGTACGACCCCCTACCTTGTCAAAAAAATCGAAAATTTTTTAAAATTTTGCGAGACCCCCTACCTCGTCAAAAAATCGAAAATTTTTTAAAATTTTGCACGACCCCCTACCTTGTCAAAAAATCGAAAATTTTTTAAAATTTTGCACGACCCTCTACCTTGTCAAAAAATCGAAAATTTTTTAAAATTTTGCACGACCCCCTACCTTGTCAAAAAATCGAAAATTTTTTAAAATTTTGCACGACCCCCTACCTTGTCAAAAAATCGAAAATTTTTTAAAATTTTGCACGACCCCCTACCTTGTCAAAAAATCGAAAATTTTTTAAAATTTTGCACGACCCCCTACCTTGTCAAAAAATCGAAAATTTTTTAAAATTTTGCACGACCCCCTACCTTGTCAAAAAATCGAAAAATTTTTAAAATTTTGCACGACCCCCTACCTTGTCAAAAAATCGAAAATTTTTTAAAATTTTGCACGACCCCCTACCTTGTCAAAAAATCGAAAATTTTTTAAAATTTTGCACGACCCCCTACCTTGTCAAAAAATCGAAAATTTTTTAAAATTTTGCACGACCCCCTACCTTGTCAAAAAATCGAAAATTTTTTAAAATTTTGCACGACCCCCTACCTTGTCAAAAAATCGAAAAATTTTTAAAATTTTGCACGACCCCCTACCTTGTCAAAAAATCGAAAAATTTTTAAAATTTTGTACGACCCCCTACCTTGTCAAAAAATCGAAAATTTTTTAAAATTTTGCACGACCCCCTACCTTGTCAAAAAATCGAAAATTTTTTAAAATTTTGCACGACCCCCTACCTTGTCAAAAAATCGAAAATTTTTTAAAATTTTGCACGACCCTCTACCTTGTCAAAAAATCGAAAATTTTTTAAAATTTTGCACGACCCCCTACCTTGTCAAAAAATCGAAAATTTTTTAAAATTTTGCGAGACCCCCTACCTCGTCAAAAAATCGAAAATTTTTTAAAATTTTGCACGACCCCCTACCTTGTCAAAAAATCGAAAATTTTTTAAAATTTTGCACGACCCTCTACCTTGTCAAAAAATCGAAAATTTTTTAAAATTTTGCACGACCCCCTACCTTGTCAAAAAATCGAAAATTTTTTAAAATTTTGCACGACCCCCTACCTTGTCAAAAAATCGAAAATTTTTTAAAATTTTGCACAACCCCCTACCTTGTCAAAAAATCGAAAATTTTTTAAAATTTTGCACGACCCCCTACCTTGTCAAAAAATCGAAAATTTTTTAAAATTTTGCACGACCCCCTACCTTGTCAAAAAATCGAAAATTTTTTAAAATTTTGCACGGCCCCCTACCTTGTCAAAAAATCGAAAATTTTTTAAAATTTTGCGAGACCCCCTACCTCGTCAAAAAATCGAAAATTTTTTAAAATTTTGCACGACCCCCTACCTTGTCAAAAAATCGAAAAATTTTTAAAATTTTGTACGACCCCCTACCTTGTCAAAAAATCGAAAATTTTTTAAAATTTTGCGAGACCCCCTACCTCGTCAAAAAATCGAAAATTTTTTAAAATTTTGCACGACCCCCTACCTTGTCAAAAAATCGAAAATTTCAAAAAATCGAAAATTTTTTAAAATTTTGCACGACCCCCTACCTTGTCAAAAAATCGAAAATTTTTTAAAATTTTGCACGACCCCCTACCTTGTCAAAAAATCGAAAAATTTTTAAAATTTTGCACGACCCCCTACCTTGTCAAAAAATCGAAAATTTTTTAAAATTTTGCACGACCCCCTACCTTGTCAAAAAATCGAAAATTTTTTAAAATTTTGCACGACCCCCTACCTTGTCAAAAAATCGAAAATTTTTTAAAATTTTGCACGACCCCCTACCTTGTCAAAAAATCGAAAATTTTTTAAAATTTTGCACGACCCCCTACCTTGTCAAAAAATCGAAAAATTTTTAAAATTTTGCACGACCCCCTACCTTGTCAAAAAATCGAAAAATTTTTAAAATTTTGTACGACCCCCTACCTTGTCAAAAAATCGAAAATTTTTTAAAATTTTGCACGACCCCCTACCTTGTCAAAAAATCGAAAATTTTTTAAAATTTTGCACGACCCCCTACCTTGTCAAAAAATCGAAAATTTTTTAAAATTTTGCACGACCCCCTACCTTGTCAAAAAATCGAAAATTTTTTAAAATTTTGCACGACCCCCTACCTTGTCAAAAAATCGAAAATTTTTTAAAATTTTGCACGACCCCCTACCTTGTCAAAAAATCGAAAATTTTTTAAAATTTTGCACGACCCCCTACCTTGTCAAAAAATCGAAAATTTTTTAAAATTTTGCACGACCCCCTACCTTGTCAAAAAATCGAAAATTTTTTAAAATTTTGCACGACCCCCTACCTTGTCAAAAAAACGAAAATTTTTTAAAATTTTGCACGACCCCCTACCTTGTCAAAAAATCGAAAATTTTTTAAAATTTTGCACGACCCCCTACCTTGTCAAAAAATCGAAAATTTTTTAAAATTTTGCACGACCCCCTACCTTGTCAAAAAATCGAAATTTTTTTAAAATTTTGCACGACCCTCTACCTTGTCAAAAAATCGAAAATTTTTTAAAATTTTGCACGACCCCCTACCTTGTCAAAAAATCGAAAATTTTTTAAAATTTTGCACGACCCCCTACCTTGTCAAAAAATCGAATATTTTTTAAAATTTTGCACGACCCCTTACCTTGTCAAAAAATCGAAAAATTTTTAAAATTTTGTACGACCCCCTACCTTGTCAAAAAATCGAAAATTTTTTAAAATTTTGCACGACCCCCTACCTTGTCAAAAAATCGAAAATTTTTTAAAATTTTGCACGACCTCCTACCTTGTCAAAAAATCGAAAAATTTTTAAAATTTTGCACGACCCCCTACCTTGTCAAAAAATCGAAAATTTTTTAAAATTTTGCACGACCCCCTACCTTGTCAAAAAATCGAAAATTTTTTAAAATTTTGCACGACCCCCTTGCACGACCTTGTCAAAAAAACGAAAATTTTTTAAAATTTTGCACGACCACCTACCTTGTCAAAAAATCGAAAAATTTTTAAAATTTTGCACGACCCCCTACCTTGTCAAAAAATCGAAAATTTTTTAAAATTTTGCACGACCCCCTACCTTGTCAAAAAATCGAAAATTTTTTAAAATTTTGCACGACCCCCTACCTTGTCAAAAAAACGAAAATTTTTTAAAATTTTGCACGACCCCCTACCTT